AAAAAAAAAGAAAAAAGCTCAAAAACTGTATCTTAGTGCACAGAGCTCCACACTTAAAAGACCCCTGTTGCTGTAACATTGTCATGATCTTCAACTTCCTTACAATATGTGAGCAAAGGAGCTGCCAGTAAGTCTCATTGACTGTCCTGAGTACATGGTTTGTTTTCATATTCTGCTCACCTCCTCTCGTGCTGGTTTCCTTTTGGCACAAGCACATGACTGGAGTCTGAGTCACTCAGCATCCGTGGGGTTTAGGAGAGAAGGACACAGAAATTGAAGTCAGAGCAAGGGACCACCTGGTGCTGAAAGTCACAGCCTGGATGTAACAAGTTCATGAGGGGGTGCCCTGTCTGTGCCCAGGCTAGACCAGGAGACAGAGAAATACACAATCTAGGAACCTGCTTCCCAGGGCAGAAAAGGGCATTTCCTAGCTCAAGGCTTAGGACTCATGAATTGGACACTTAGAGTCAACACAAAGGGAACCTTTCTCCCAATGTGACGTCATCTCTCAGCAAGGTCACTATTACCGTGTTTTGTTTGGCCCCAGGGCACTCAGTGTGTGGACACAAAGCTCAGCTGCGTATGTGTCTGATGAAACTCAAAATATTTCCCTTAAAGATGATTAATTTTTGCCAAAATATCATTATAAAATAATTTGAGTAAATGAGCAGATAAGAAAATAGATGCATGAAAATGAATAAACAAACTTTGTGAAATCAGCCTGTACCAGCTTGAAAGACCTTCTGAGGTTGTTTTATCACAACATCCATCTCCAGACAGAATTGTCCCTAATGTGGATCTGGTAGCTCACTTGGCTTCAACCCCTTTTAAAACCATACAACTTTTCAGGAACTCCTTGTTCTGTTAATTATTTAGTTACGTATAACCGATCTGTTTATTTAAAATTTGTAATGTTTATATAACTTATATATCAATAATATTGAGTTTTAAATGTCTGAGGTGGGATATATGCTATTTTCTCTAGTTAATACTTTCAAAGTAATCATCATGTATATATATTGCCATTTTTGTGACTTCCTGAGCCCTTACTCTAAGATTTCCAGGCAAAATGTGTCTTTATCTGCCTTTGGGCATTGGCACAGTGGAAGAGGCTGCCTGAGATTAGCGAAGGAAATAAAAATAGCTAGATTTCTACTATATGCTAAATATTTTGTGGTATTGGCTGGGTG